CATTTACCGCATTTCTCAAATAAACTACTTGCAGGCAAGTCCTTATTTTCTCTAGACCCATGCAGGATGCTACCTAATAATTTAAAAATGATAATGGAGATGTTGAGTTGTATGGGATATTTGGCAGGAACTGCATTTTTAAAACCTTGATTCTTCTGCCAGTTTTCCTTCCTTGTCTGCTGTCATGGCTTTGGAGATCTCATCCTATGATCCTGCCTTTGCTGCCATCTCTGGTGCTCACCATTCTGTTTATTTCTTCACATGGCTCCATTTCTCTCTCTTATAGAAGGTTCCTGTTTGCCTCTAAAATACCCTTCAGCTACAGTTCTTTATATTATCTTCTCTTCCCTGCCAAACTTTCAAATAAGCCTTCGAGAAAATTGCCACAATTTTCTTCTCCCTTTTCTCTTTTTGCTTAATCATGAATAATTTGGATACCATTGTCACCCTTCAGTCAAACAGCTCTCAAGGCCCCCCTAACCACCTTCTTATTTCAAAACATAGAGGTCCTCTTTTTGTTCTCTTGTCATTTCTGTTACCATTGAGTGTACTGAGAATATTTCCTTTTTGAAAATTGTCTTGAGTGGGTGAATGCTTAGAATCTTAACAATAAAGGGAGATTTAGTCCACACTGACACTTTACAATGGGGGAAACTGAGACCTAAAAAGTTCAGATGATTTGCCCAGCGAAGTCCAGAAATGTAAAAGCTGAACATTGATCATCCGTGGCAGATTCAGATCTACCATGTGAACTGTTTTCAATTAATCCAGAACCAAAACCTTTCAAATATTCCTCGGTTTTATTCCTTCCTACATAAAGGTCTCCCAGGGGGTCCCTCCACAGTCATTCTCCATTGCAGCAGTTAGGATGGTATTTCTAAAGTGTAAATCAGAGCCTACCTCTCCCCTGCTTAGTCTCCAGTTCTTCTTTTCTGCACTGAAAATAAAATCCAAACTCCTTTCCGTGCTTTGTAAGATCCTCCATGGCCCAGCAGTCTTTCCAGTCTTAATTACTGTGCATCCTCCTCTTGTAATCATTCTGCTGCCCAACACAGACCCTCCCCTTGCCAGCAAGGTGAGCCTAGCCCTCCCTGGGGCACTTGCTTTGCTGCTCCTACGGTTGGAATGCTTCTCTCTCTGGCCACTGCACCACTGCTTCCCTCTCTTCCTGTGGTTCTCATTCAGCTCCAAAGGCCTCATGCTCAAAGAGTCTTAATCTGATGTCACCAAACCTAGCATTGTCCATAACCCTCCTGCTGCCCAAGACAGTATTCTCTTTTATTTTTTTCATAGCATTTATCACTAGTCACAGTTATGTTACTTATATATGGTTTGGAGTTTGTCATGTTTCCAAACATTAGAGTATACTTTCCTGGAATGGAGGGACTTTGTTTTGTCTTTCATATCTCTCACACCTAGATCACCAAATGACCAATAATCAGTGCTCCGTAAATCTTTGTCAGATGAATAAATAAATTAATGAATGATATCTAAATCTCCTGTCTCATTTCCAGGAATCCTCATCCTCCCTTACTCTCCAATTCTACTCTTTCAAAATCTTTTCTCCGCTATAATCAAAATGGTTGCCTCCTGAATCAATGAGGAAAACACTCCTGACCAGGTGTTACCTTTTCAGTTTTCTCATTGGCCAAACTCCCACCTTATGCCTAACTACTCAGATTTTATCTCTGTTAAAGTATAACTCACATTTCATTTCCATGAAACCAGATCTCACAGCCCTCATTGATCATCCCTTCTTAAAATGATGTACAATGACCCTTGTATTTTAGGGATTCTGAGTACTCTTATAGGATTTATACTAACTTGAATTATATCTTCAAGTTTCAGAGAATATGTAAGTTGTGCCTAGTTGCGTTAAATGTGTGTTTGTTACATGTAGTAGATCCTCATTTTGTGTCGGTCCTATGGTAGCAAATTTATCTATTCACTAAAATTTATCTGCAACCCCAAAATTAATATTTGTGGAGCTTTCATGGTTGTTCACAGACATGTAGACAGGTGCTTCCCTGCTGGAGTGGAACATGCTACCCTCTGCCTTCTTGCTTCAGTTCTCATACAATAAGAAAGTGTGCTGTTTGCAGTCTACTTAGCACCATGTTTTTTGCATTATAAGCTTTTTGTTGGTGATGTTGCTGTTTAAAATTGCCCCTAAGCTTTCAGGCATGGTGGCACATGCCTATAATCCAATGGCTAGGAAGGCTGAGGCAGGAGGATCACAAGTTCAAAGCCAGCCTCAGCAAGAGCGAGGTGCTAAGCAACTCAGTGAGACCCTGTCTCTAAATCAAATACAAAATAGGGCTGGGGATGTGGCTCAGTGGTCAAGTGCCCCCAAATTCAATCCCTGGTTACCCCCCACCCCCCCAAAAAAATGCCCCCAAGCATAGTGGTGAATGCTGCCAGGTGCTCCTAAGCACAAGAAGGCTGTGAAGTGGAAACAGGTATAAGGTATTCAGGTGTAAATCATTGTCCTGTTGGCTGTTTCGGTGATAAGGAGACAACAATATCAAACAAGCTGTCTTGAACCAGAATACACAGGCAGTGAGGTTATGTGTTGCTTGGCTGGTAGAAATGTTTTGACCAGAGGCCCGTAGGAACCAAACGCTATGTTTCCCCTGGGAGCAATATTTGCTAATTCAGTGTTTGTGGCAATTCGTGGAATTTAACTACAGTAATAATGAGAATTGACTATATATGTATATGTACATTGACATTAGTCTTATTTAGGAGACAAGGAAATGAATTCTTATTGAAATTAAGTAGTTTACCCAAGATCATTTGCCAAGCTGCTAAATAGTAGATCTGAAATCTGGGCTGTGAGATTCCAAAGTCTATTGGGTTTCCTTTTACCAAACCAGTGTTTTTCTTTGTTTTCATTAGGTTCAGAGTCCTAGTTATTACAGGGTATTATGGGCGTGTGCATATAAAATACGAGTTGAGTTTGCTGAGAGAATAATAAAAAACCATAGTACACATTGAGTAGATAAAAGTATTTTTTAAAGTTTTATTTATAGTCCCACGTTAGTGAGCAGATAAGTGACTCCCAATCTTAGAAGTAAAAGAACCTCTTTTTTTCAAAGTTGAGTTGTTATGCACAAGCTTCGTCTTCTTTATCATGGAAATGAAATTCTGACTAGTAGCCAAATCTTAAATAATCAAAGCTATAAGAATACTACCATAACCTAGATTTATTTCCTGACACATGGGTCTAAGGCCCTTGCTTAGCATCTGGATGGCCATCTTAAGAGCCTCCATTTTGAGGAAAAAGTTTTGCTTTCCTGCCCAAGGGTGTTTCTGAGAAAGGCTCACCCTCATACCAACCCAACCCTGCATTAGGACCCGCTGGGCTCTGATTCCTCAGCTTCCCCCTAAAAATCCCAGAAACCCAAGCCTGTTTTGCCTCCCTGTCCTATAGAGAGATGGCCTTTATTTGTCAGCTCTGACAAATAAACGCTGGTATGTATCTCTGCCTGGTCTCCGTCTTTTCATTCCTCGCTTTCCCTTCAATGTGTGCACACCTTAAACCTTTCTGGCACTTACCTGAGCTGATTCACACATGCTGTGAAAGTGAACACACTTGCATGTTGTATGTATGTGGTCAGAGATACAGGCCAGACTTTATAAAAGACTTTTTCCCCTTTAACTGTATATATACTTACATGCAGATATAACAGGAGAAGTTATATTATCAAACCTACCCAAAACACATACACATGGATCAACTTACTGGCTTTGTGATCTGCACTGTTTCATATGTGTATGTGTGTATACACATGTATATATCCACGTGCACACACACATTTATACACATGTACATATGCACATGTACATGTATGTTGAGACTTTTTTTTTTACAAACTTCGTAATATATTTTCAAAAATAATTGAAAATATTTGTCGAACCTTCAAAGCACCTTGGTGAACACAGTTTGAACAGCCATTTCTTACCCACATCCCCACCAGTAGCTGTTTCTTTCTGAGTAGATAGTATGCAGATCTTACTGGTAAGAATCATATCTTTTTTTTTTTTACTTATGTATTACAAATGATCTTAGCTTAGTACTAAATATAAAGAAGTCTCTCACCATTGGTAATCCACTGCACCCCAGATGGTTGGCAACCAGCTATATCATAGCAAAGATTTCTGCAGAGTGAGTTTAGAAGTAAATAACGTGATGAAATGATTTCACTTGATTGTGTGGAACAAGGGCCTTGATGTATCACAGAGTGGATCAGATTTTGTTCCTATGATAGTCTCTTGACATTTCTTTTTTCCTCAAAAACCAGAGCCACACAGGAGTCTCAAATTAACACTTCTCAACTTTGAAAAAGCTGCCAGAGACAAGGTTGGGTGAGGAGTTTCCCACAGGGAAGCAAGACCAGATAACAACATTTTATGTCTTCCCCAAGGCTACACTATAATTCCCAAAGTGTTAGAGAAGGGGCTAAGGGGTCCTTCAAAGCTATGCCATTAGTAAGCTGAAGGGACTAATGGGTTTTAGCTTAGAATCCTGAACTCATGGTTTAAATATTTTATGATAGTTTGCTTTTCCCTTAATTAGATGGCTGCATGTCCAGAGACTTTAAATATCCTATTTTTAAGAAGCTAAACTTTTCACATCTCGAGGCATCAAGGTCGATGTATTTTTCCTGGTTTAAAGAACAGCTGAATTCCATTGTGCAGATAAAAATGGATTAACTGCATGATACCACCTCAGGCTTTACTGGCTCTGTCACTTCTCCAACTGGGCAGAGACTTTTGCCTCCAGAGGTGATGACCCAATGGTTTTGTCCTGCCTGAGTTAGTAAAAACATCCACTGTGTTTATAAGCACCACTCAAGAGTTTGTTTAGCCACATCTTCCCTACCCCGACCCCAGAAAGAATGCAAAAGCAATAGAGATTCCAAACTTTTCAGCTTTATTTTCCACTCCTTATTTTCCGAGTGGAGATTATTGAAAACAATCATTCTTTCTTGTTGCAGGAAAAGCCATCGGAGGAAGAGAGAAAACACAAGGAAGCTTTGGATGATCTTCACATGGTGGTAGATGAGGATTCACGGAGTGAAGACAGCAGTACAGATGAGGGCAGAGAAAAGACGAAATTGCTGTTGGAAAGATTGAAAGCTTTAGAGGTAAGAAATGGAACCATTCCTACATGTTTAAAGAAGAGTAACAGTGTTCTGCTTTTATTGGCACTGATTTTAACTGAGTATAAATCTTCCTCTCTCAGTTCTCCCAGACTGATATAACTGAGTGTCTACCACTGAGATTCTTTTGTCAATGATGAACAAAAAATTAAGATTTGCAGCATTGAAAGGGTCTTGACACAGTGGCTGTGACTTTATTGCCTTAGAAAGAGGATGTAGGACAATAATTCATTTTGAAATCATTTCAGACCTCAAACTGGATCAATTCCTAAAATTAGAAGCTCTTTGATACAGGAGGCTGAGTGAAGCTTCACATCGTTTTCCTTATACCGGATGAAATGAATGAATGAGTGAATGAACAAACAAAATACTTTAGAGTGTGTAAAGAAGATTGTAAAAAGGTTGTGTGTGTAAATATATGTATGTGTGTGTGTATATATATATATATATATATATATATATACACACACACACATATATATATACATATATATGCATACATTTGTACATGTATTATATATACAATGTATATATAAAGATCACATATAAATTTTAAAAAAGTAAAAGCATTTTTTCAAATAAAACCATGCATAAAAGTTCAATTTGTTTGTGCAGCATATAAAAAGTAGAGTTGAAGCCAGGATAAAGGATTTTTAAGGAGATTTTTGGGTCACTATAGTCCACCAAAATACTGTTTGAAAAACACAGGGTTATTACTTAGTGGCATTTGACATCATATCAAGTGTTAATTCCTGAATTTTCAAAGCAGTATCAAAGAACACTCCAGCTGCAAGTTTTTGATTGCGATTATATGTACTAAAAAATTCAATAAAGCTGCCTTCTTTCTTAAGAGTTTACTTCCCTCTTTTCCATATATTTATAAGGGGTTTTCACCCATCATCATCTAAAATCAGTCCTACTATAAGCTCTACAGAATCCTGCAAACTTTCATGGTATGCATAAACAGAAATGGAAGAGAGATTTTGTTTTCTATAACTTGGTTTCTCTGACCTGGCCTCTAACCCACCATATGGTCACTAGTGAGCATGTCCTTTTTATTCTTAGCACATGTTCAGCACAATGGTTAAGATAATGGACTTTTGGGGCTAGGGGTGTGGCTCAAGCAGTAGCGCGCTCACCTGGCATGCGTGGGATGCTGGGTTCGATCCTCAGTACCACATAAAAATAAAATAAAGATGTTGTGTCCACCAAAAACTAAAAAATAAATAAATAAATATTAAAAAATTCTCTCTCTTAAAAAAAGATAATGGACTTTGGAGCAAGATGCTCAGGGTTTTGTTTGAATACTTGTTCTATACTTTTTTGCTTTTAAAACCTTCAAATTCACATATTCTCTCTGTGTTTCCTCAATTGCAGAAATGAGGATAATAATAGCAACTCAATTTACAGAAAAGTAACAGGGATTAAATAAGTTATGTATACAATGATTTTCTTTGCTTGGTCTCTTCTGTCCATCTAACTCAAGGCTGCTACCTCTTCCTAAGTCATTTTCCCCTATTTCTCTGAGTTCAATGATCAATACAAAAACTATGAATGAAAAAAAAATCAGCTATTGCACACCAGCATGAGTGAAACAGATAGGTGAGCAACTGATATTAGACACAGAGCAAAAGGGAATCTAACTGAGGGAAACTCCAAGAGCTCCCAGGTGTGAAGGACCAGAAATCACCTGTCTCCCAAGGGGGTCTCATGCTTTTGTCATTTTTAAAGGTAGTGTTAAAGATAGGCAGGCCTTCTTGAGGGGAACTGAAGTTTCTGTTTGGGAGTTGTGAGAAAACTTACAACTATCTTCAGTCTGAATTAACTAGATTCAACAACAGGAGTGAGTTGATATGACATGTGCTTAAATTGTTTAGTTTTTATTTATGATTACAGTGAACATTGTTCTCAATTCATCTTATTGTCGGAGACAACTTTGTGAAGGACATTTGGTCTAATCAAGCTAAGAGGTATTTAAAAAATGTCTTTGGCAGCAAATGTTCCATAAAGTTCAGAGTGAAAAAGAAGCCATATTTTTTCCTTCCTCAGAGAGCTTTACACTTTCAGCAACAACTCTTTCATCCACCATTAGTTGGATGCAATACATGATATATTTAAGTGCCATTTGGACCCATGATTTTAGTTTACAAACTATTTTATTTCCTAAATTAATTTTCTTTAATCCAACTATCATTACTTGTTTCCTAAAATTCTTTGTTTAATATTAAGTTAACTCTGTTTTTGCCCCTGTGTCTCCCTACATTATACTTGACAATCCTATCATTTTTATTACATAAAATCTTTTTATTGTATGTGATCCAATTTTCATATGAATTTCATATGCTACTTAATTAGATTTTTAAAGAATTTGCTACATATGCTCAGTGTGTAGGATCCTCTGCATAGGTTAAAATTTGTTGTGAGAAAATAGAGAACTCATTTTGACAGACTGTGATTAGAACTGGTCACAGACCCCCATGAGGATTTGTGCACTTCCACAAAATGCTCCTCTGAAAGATTGCAGGGAAATTAACCGTAATGCATCAAAATCGCTTTGGCAAGATTTGATATTGTACAGCGAGATTTTAGAAAAGCAAGGGATATTTTGTACCGGTATATCTTTGAAAAAAAACATGCATATATCTTAATCTCTGAGCTGCTGATATTGTAGGAAGCAGCAAAGAATGTTTTTCAGGGTGATGGAAAGAAGTCTTCTTTTATTCTTGCTCCCCAAACAGGTCCCAAGAAAGTGTGGAAAAGGAGTTACAGAGTCTACGTCTAATATTGTGCTCTTGATTGATATGACAGTAATATCAAAATATTAAAAACAATTTTGAAACACTTAAACTGTAAATTGTATTTGAAAAATCTCCTGACTTTGAGAATTAAGTAAATATTTTCCAGGTACCTCTTACCTCCACCTCAGGATTTCTTCCTCTTGTCATCATTTCCTATTCACTTTTGATCATAATCTCTCATCTTCTGTGTCAGCACCAACATCCTGTGAAACAATACAGGCTTTGCTGGAGTTTTCCAAAATCCAGCCTCAGAGAGGAGATGGGGCTATGGCAGCACATCTTTAGGTAGCTCCACTTCTATTCAGTCCTTTGGCTACAGCACCTTCCTCTGCAGCCCCTTTCTTTTCAATTCCCAGCCCCAGGATGTAGGACTTGGCTAGAGCTTTCCCACAGGCTTCCCTGTTCCACAGCCAACTTCCCCCTTGTCTGCTATGCAGATTTCTAGATCTAGGCACTTCACCTCATGAGTCTATTCCATGCCATGCCCAGGCTCATCAAGGTATTTTAGCAAATCAGGTGTTTACCTTCCTAAAGAGAACGCTAGGTCCTGTAGCCAAAATAACACACGCACACTTTATTTCTCTGCTGAGTGTCTCACTTTTGGCCATATTTATTTGTCCTGGGGAGGAAGAGTGGACTGTTTTACCTCTTAGTTCAGACACTGCTTCTGATTTTTGTTTAGGTTCCTGATGTCTGGTAGAGAAACCATTTGTTGATTTTTTTTTTAATATGCCGTACAGCCATGTTGGTGATCCAGAGTCCACTGGCTCCTTCCCTTTACCTTTTCCATGCCCAGACATGTTTCATGAAAGTTCAGGTTTTCGTGGCTACCATTACAGGGACTGCTTACTTGGCTTAGGAAAGGGCTCACCATTTTCAACGGCATTGCTATGTCACAGTTCTCTTCTGAAAAGGACTTTTCCTCTCTCACACTTCACTCTATTACATTGATGAGAGATCTTTCCAGACATGCCCTCCAGGATCCACAGGCTGAATTTGGAGACTTCCCCGGGCATTCCTCCTGGGCATTCACCTCAGAGCCTGCATTTGCTCCTGGAATGTTCCTGGCAATACATGATTTGCTTGTCTCCAGAGCTTCCTCCTGAAAGCCCCAACAGCCATTCCTCCCCACTCGGACACTGAATTTAGAGCTGACCCCAAATCAAGCTGGACCTTCCTTTTGCAACTCCTTTTACAACTCCTGTAGCATCTCTGATTTCCAAGTGCCAGCTGGGGGAAGAACAGCCTGAGGTCACCTGAGATTTCTGAGCTTCCCAGTAAGTGCAATAGCATCAAGGTCAGAAGAACTCACCCTCTTATAGGAATGATTTGTTTTTTTGCAGTAAAATATGATAATAAATATATTAAGGTAAGTAATAGCTTTTTATTCTCAAGTATTCCTTTCAATGAAAGGATGACAATTAAAGTGCTAAGCATAAGCATTTTTTTTAAATCAGCAATTCCTATTTAAGTTTAGGTAATTCAAAATAATTGAACCTCAGTGCACTTCACGATTATATACAGAATTCATAGTCAGTAGATATATACCTTCTATGGGTACACAAAATACCATCTGTGGGCCAAACACTGTTCTAGGCACTGTGTTAGATCCCCATCCTAGAGACAGGAAGCACATAATTTTTTAAAAAAACATGAATTGATAAAGAGATAAATGCTTCTAAATGAAAAAAAAAATAGGTGATATAGTGGCAGAAGGAGTACAAGATGGGAGTGAGAGTGGCATGTGCCTACCTAAGAAGCCTTTTGACATCAGGCCCAGAGCTATATGAAGACTGGAAGACCACCATTCTAGAAAGACGCAGCGGCTGGTGTGGAATCCCGACTCCAAGATGTTGGCAAGCCTGGCAAGTTAGAGGAACAGAAATAAGAACTGTGTCCTGCGATATCAGATTCAGGATCAGAACATGGGAAAGATGTGAGTTTAGAGGGGTAGATGAGGGCCAGACCCTGTGAGAAACCATAGGCCATGGCCACATAAAAGCAACTGGAAATAATTATGAGTTCAAAGAGAAGCCATTAGAGATGTTTGACCCAGGAAGTTACATGCTGTGGCTTGTTTTTTGTTTGTTTGTTTGTTTGTTTGTTTAATGTCCATGCTGTTTTGTAGGGCAATTGTGGGACAGGGGTAGAATTAGAGACCAGGCAGGAGGGGATTCATTTTTTAAG